TTTGAGAAATTTTGCCGAAGCAAGATAAAAAATTGTAAAATTTAATTTGATTTTTTAAAATTACTGAACTTAAAAATATCGTTAAAGTAAATTGTAAAAGTATGTCAAAAATTTGTTATTTTTTATAAGGTTTGGAGTGTTTTTTAACAAAAAAATTTTCTGCTTAATTTGAAAAATTTAGAGCACTTTTTACCAAAAAAGAAAGAAAGATTTGAAAGATTTGTGAAGGCTAAATTTGTTAATAATTATTATTATTATTGCAGATAATTGCAAAAATTAAATCTGGAAATGCGTTATTTCTACTTTTTTTTGAATTTAGTGCGTTTTTTACCTAGAAACTCAGAAAATACTTTTGGTATTTTTTTATGAATCTCTTCATTCAAATTGCAAAATAAAGTCAAAAATTTTTCCTATAACTTTAGTGTTAGTCAACGAAAATTTTACTAAATCCGAGTAATTTTGCGTAAACAAGGAAGAAAAATGAAAAATGAAATCAGTTTTTTTGTTGTTTTCAAAAATTCAAAGCGATTTTTTTTTTTCGAGGAACACTTATTTAAAAGAGTTTAGTGTGTTTTTACGTTGAAATTTTGCTTATTTTAAAAAAAATTCTCAGAAAACTATAAAATTCAAGAAATTGTTGAAAAACTCAAGAATTTGATAAAGTTTGTTAAAACAAAGACAATTGCAGAATAAGTTAGAAAAAACGTAATTTTTTATAACTTTAAAAGTGTTAGTTAACGAAAAAATTACAAAATCCAAGTAATTTTGCTAAAACAAAGCAAAAAATTACAAAAATTAAATTTGGAAATGAATGGAATTTTGTTTATTTTAAAAAATTCAGTTTTTTATTGGAAAACACTTTTTGTAACAAATTTACCTAAAAACTCACAAAATTCGAGAAATTTTGTCAAAACAAAAAATAAAACTATAAATTTTGATCACAAAATTTGTTACTTTTGAATCTAGACGAGAAACTACTAATTAAATGTGAAAAACATCAGTTTTAAAACTTGCAAAATATGGTCAAAAATTTGTTATTTTCTGTGTTTTTCCAACAAAGAATGCAAAGTAAAAAATTGCAAAAATTATATACAAAATGACAAAATTTTGCTTATTTTAAAAAATTTTCGGATAAAACTACAAAATTCAAGAAATTTTGTCAAAACAAAAAAGAAAATAAAAAATTACAATTACACAAAATGCGTTGTTTTTAGTCCAGAGCGTTTGTTGCTAAAAAAATCAATAAAAAAACATAGATACTGTCCGGCGGTGTGGTAGCGCCGCGGATTTAAACTCCAATAAACTCAACAATTTTTTTTTCTAACTCTAATAAGCGCACAATCACGTCAGAATTACCAGCACGAAACGCAATCATCGTAAAAAATCTATAAAATGACGCAGATTTCAAAAATTTTGACTAGTTTTAGTCCATTATTTTAATAATTTCTAATCCTTATTTTTTATTCACTTTC